TGCAGTGTCGTATCTGGTTGGCAGAATGTATCCCTAGCTGCTGTGTGTGTGGTTGCAGTGTCGTATCTGGTTGGCAGAATGTATCCCTAGCTGCTGTGTGTGTGGTTGCAGTGTCGTATCTGGTTGGCAGAATGTATCCCTAGCTGCTGTGTGTGTGGTTGCAGTGTCGTATCTGGTTGGCAGAATTTCATCGCAGTCTCACCCACTCCCATCCTCTCTTCTCTGATGTTCCTTAGGCCTGGAGAACAGGGAAAAGTTGATATAATTGTCTAGTTTAGGGTTGAGCACGTAGCAGTGACTTATTCTCAACACTTTGTCTGGGAATTAGACAGCACCCTCTGCAAAAAGGAGCTGGAAACTGTCTCACTGGTGGCTATTGATCATATTACTGGTGTAGGTTGCTGGCGAAGAAAAGTCGCCAAGGATCTTATCCAGTTGTAGACAGATATGTCTCCTATAATACTAACCAGTCAGGATGTGTGATCACTGGTATAATAGTGAAAGTTATTTGGGCATAACCAACCACTCTGTGATTGGATTTTAAACCTATTCCATGAGTGTGTTGTGTGTTGTTAAAGATACAGACCCATATACCTGGTCAAAAGGCTATAGCTTCCAGGTCTCTGTCTTCCATCCTGATTCACATGGAACAAGTTGTTAAGAAAGCCTTGGTGCTTCTTCGTTACTCAGAGCCTTTCAGTTTCTGATTCTCTCTCTCTCTCTCTCTCTCTCTCTCTCTTTCTCTCTCAATATATGTATATTGAGAGAGAAATGTATATATTTCTGCAGAAATGTATATATATATCCAACCACACACACAGCAGCTAGGGATATAATGTATATATATATATATACACACACATACATGTATATGTATATATCTATATATATGTATATTCACACATATATACATATGCAGCATCCTCCCCAAAAGAAAACCCCCAAATTAATTAAAGACAAAACAAACAAACACACACCTCGTCTTTCCCACCTCTCCAATACTTCTTCATTTGCCCTAGTGGCATTGGAGGCTGCCGTGTGTCACACATCAGCCCCACATGCAATGTTCACTACAATGAGTGAGTGGTCTGGTCCAAGGCCTCTGGCACACCATCATCACTGGGCCCTCACTGAAACTCCTCTCGGACACCCTGCTGTGGCTCTGAGTTTTGGAGATCCTGCAGCTATCATTCTGTCCCTTCATGTGCTCCAGCAGGTTATAGATGGCATAGATGTTAGAGCGGGCCAACCCAAGGCCTAGGATGTGGGCCTGGATGGGAGCAGAGCTGGTCAGTCTGGGCTTTGGGCCACTGGGACTGCCCCCCTTACATGAGGGGCAGAACCAGCTTTCCCACAACCATGGTAAGGGGTGGGATCATCTCTTCCAAGTGCTGGGGTGAGGGGCAGCTCTCCAGTGAGGGTCAGGAAGAGCTCTCCTGCTGGAGAGGGAGTGCCAAGGGAGGGGTAGGGCCAGCTATCTCAGGGTCAGTGAAGGGCAAAGCCAGCTCAGCCGCCCTCAGATTTCAACAGACATGGTTCCCATGGAGATCAGCACAGATCCCAGCTGCAGCAGGACTAGAGACCTTGTTCAGCTTGTTTTCTTATAGAACCCAGGACCAGCAACCCAGGGATAGCACCACCCACCATGGGTGTGCCCGTGGATCAATAATTGAGAAAAAAGCCTTACAGCTGGATCTCATGGAGGCCTTTCTTTCTTCAGTTGAGGCTCTTTCCTCTCTAATGACTTTAGCTTGTGTTAAGTTGACCAGCCAGTACAGAGGGTTATGGACATAACCATCATGATGAGAAGCAGATAGGCAGGATGCTGGACTGGTAGCTGGGAACTTTACATCCCAATCCTTGAGGAGAGAGAGGGAGGGAGACAGGGAGGGAGGGAGGGAGGGAGGGAGGGCGCAGGAGGGAGGGACGGAGCGTGCGGGAGGGAGGGAGAGACAGAGAGATAGCAGAGAGGAAGGGAGAGAGACAGCTTGACTTTTTGAAACCTCAAAGCACACTCCCAGAGACACACTTCCTCCAACAAACCTGCATCTTAGCCTTTAACAAACTGTTCGTGCAAATATATGAGCTTATAGGCGGCATTCTCATTCAAACCACCAGAGCCACCAGGCCTGGCTCCCTCTGTATCTTTGAAGCCAAGACTTAGCTATGACATTGGGGAGGGCATTATAATTGTCACTCTCCCATTATCTCCCTCTTGTGGCACCTTACTAGTCTATCTATGATGCTAAGAGAGCCTAGTGATATCCTTGTCACAGAGGGTTTACCTTTTGCCTATATCGTATTCTTATTTCTTCTAGTGAAACCCCTCGGTCTTAGTTACTTTTCTATTTCTGTGATAAAACACCGTGACCGATTCAACTTATGACTGAAAACATTTAATGTGGGACTTATGGTTTCAGAGGGTAGAGTCTATGATGGCAGAGCAAACACATGCATGGCAGCAGGGACAGCTGAGAGCTCACATCTTGTCAGCAAGTTGCAGGCAGAGAGGACTATTTGGGAAGAAACCTCAAAGCTCAGCACCAGCGGCACAGCTCTCCCAAGGCCACATTTCCTAATTCTTCCCAAATAGTTCTGCCAATAGGGGAACCAAATATTCAAACCCATGAGCCTATGGGGGCCATTCTCCTTCAAACCACCATATCCTTTGGGGTTGAAGGTCAGGCAGAGTGCAAGCCACTTCATTTTTAACTACCAAGAAGCTTCTATTCTCTGCACCGCAGAAGCCATGGACTCAGCCTTCATTGCCTATAGAAGTTAGCTTTCTATCTTCCATCTTGATCCAGGACAACCTGATAAAAAAAAAGCCTTGGTGTTCCCTTTGTCATCTTAGGCACATTCAAACCAAACAAATCCCTGTTCTTACAGGGAACTTCTACCTCTGCCTCACTATCACCAACACGGGAACCCAGATTGCCTTCTTTGTACCCCCAAGCCATCTTGAAACCTCTTCCACAACCCTCCAACCCTCAATTCTGTAACTAATGAAGTGTGTGTGTGTGTGTGTGTGTGGTGTTGTTGTCAGTGTCAACATCAGTAGCATTTCAGTAATGTGACTGTCCAACCTGTCCCTGCAGATGAGGAAAACCAAGTGGAAGCCTGAAGAAATGTACCCTTCCTATCTCACATGGCCAGAAGATTATAATAAAACAATGACAGAAGTGGATTTCAGAGATTAGGACAATCTGCAAATTCTAAAAGATGTAGCTATAGTGGTCCCCAACATACCTACTTAATTTGCTCTTTAGTAACCTGTAAAAGCAGAGCATTTCTGCAGAATTACTGTACAGTATCTCATAGTGCAGCACGTGGTGATCCTAGTTGGCCTCTGATGCTCTAGTCCAGGGCAAGGCCAAATAAATCGCAGTTTCCTTCTCCACAGTCTACTATACTTCGACAATGTAACTGATGTTTCCCCATCACTTTTCCATATGTGGTACCTTTGTGCTGGTTACTACATGTGCTGATGGGGACACAAAGCAAATGATGCATTTCTATTGGCTTCAAGGTCAATGATTAACTTTACAAATGTGTTAAGAAAAAACTTTACAATTTGAACAAATTCAAACCTATTGTTCCAATTTTGCTGTTACCCAATCCTCTGCCTAATGTTCAGAACATTCACAGATTAACTCTGTTCTAGAGAAATTCATGACAAGTCTCTCTGCTTTGACAAGACTGTTTTATGAGTGTGAGTGCTTTGCTTGATGTATGTCTGTACACCTCATACCTGGTGTCCATGGAGGCCAGAAGAGAACATTAGATCTCCTGAAACTGGAGTTATAAGCCAGCCTGTGGGTGCTGGGAATAGAACTTGACTATTCTGCAAGAATAGTCAGTACTCTTAACAGCTGAGCCATCTCTCCTCCCGGAACCAGCGTGTTTGGCATATGACAGTGTAGGTTGAGCAGATAAAGAAGTGGTTTGGAGCAAGTTGAACCTTTAGAGCAACAAAGCTGAGATCAGTATGAGGCCTGAAGGCAGCAACTGTTTTGTGAGAGACATTAATTGGGAACAATGTGTTTGATGTTATTTAAGGAGTATATACATGCTTGATTTCCAAAGTAGGCATGCCAAGGGGCTATTCCATATGTCATGAAAGGAGACTCATTACTTGTGGAGCAGCAGTTCTCATCCTGTGGGTCACAACTGCCTTGGGCTTCAAATCTGAAAAGCAGCTTTTCAAGAAGCTGGATATACAGCATGCAGAGCAGGAAAGGCCCTCCAGTGCTGGACCCTCCTGTGAGCTGGCCACTGGCACCAAGGGCAGGAAGGCATGCAGGCCCCACAGTGGTGAAAGTGCCTGCAGCCCCTTCCACTGGGATGGGCATCACCCAGATGGTGCACGCTCCATGGGGAGTGGCGGGATGGGGTGTGTGGGCTCATGTGCTATCTATCTATTCCAGGGACTCTACCTAGAATAGGTGTTGCTTGCCCAGCTCTGTCACTAGACTAGGTCTAGATAGGGACTCACCAGGGCAAAAACCCTCAGAGTCCCTGCTCCCTGGCCTTGATCAGGAAACAGAGCTGGAGGGGGCAACACAGATTTTTGGTGCCCTTCTGTGGAGACCCCTGAGCACTCTGGGGCCCTGACTTTGTATTCTCGGGGAGAGCGGAACTGACCTGGATTCACGATAAGGGACAGCTTGGGGACAGTCAAAGGCAGGAGGACACTGGATACTGACTCACAAACGCCAGATTCCGAGAATTGAGGTGGGGTCCTCTGTGCTGGAGTAGCGGAGGTATGTTGGGGGTGGGCAGCAGCAGGTGACGTCACCTGAGGCCCCAGGTTGCCCAAGGCCTAGGCAACAGACTTGTCGCGTGATCCTCATGCGCCAATGGCTCAGCGGTCTCCCAGGCGACGCGGAGGGTCCGCGCTTCAGCGCCACAGCACCCCCGCCCCAAGTCCGCACTGCAGAGAGCGGAGGCGAGCCCGCGCCAGCGCATTGGACGACGTGCGGGACCAGAGGGCCAGAGAGAGCAAAGAAGCTGGCAAGAGACCCTGGAAAGGAATGGTGTCCGACCCCACCTCCTCTCTGAGCAGTCTGGGAACCTCACTGCGGCAGTGAATGAGGAAGCATCTTGACCTAAGAGGTACCAGCTCACAGGAGGAAGCGGCTGGCCTGGGCAGCCCCCTCCGCCCAGTAGGGTGGTACTGCTGCAGCCTTTGGGTTGGGGAGGGGGCTGCAGCGGAGGGCCCAACCCGGTGGGGCCTCCGCTGCAGCCTTTGGGGTGAGGAGGGGGCTATAGCACGCAGCGGGGTGGGCTGTAGAAGTGTCTTCGCAGGAGGTGGGTGGAGGCTGGGTGGCATAGAAGGGACGCGGGGGGGGGGCGCATTAATCTCCTTTCACCCTTTTTACAGACTCTGGAGGCCTGGGAGGGCTACGGATCTGGAATTTGCCCCAGATTTATGTGCATCACACCCTAATCACTCCCTACATTAGAATCTCTTGAAGTTGGAGCCATGCCATTGAACCTGTTGCAGGACTGGTGTAGGGGGGAGCATCTGAACACCCAGAGGTCTATGCTGATCCTGGGGATTCCTGAGGACTGTAGTGAGGATGAATTTGAGGAGACTCTGCACGAAGCTCTCAGGCATCTGGGAAGATATAGGATCATTGGCAGGATGTTTAGGAGGGAGGAGAACGCCCAGGCCTTTCTGGTGGAACTTGCACATGATTTTGACTATGCGTTGGTACCCAGGGAAATAGAAGGAAAGGGTGGGCCCTGGGAAGTGATTGTGAAACCCCCTAATTCAGATGATGAATTTCTCAATAGACTGAACCACTTCTTAGAGGAAGAGAGGCGCTCAGTATCAGACCTAAACAGGCTCCTTGGGACATACTCTAATTGTTCACCTAACAAAGCAGCGATATCAGCAGATTTCTGGGCCTGGGCTCAGACCTTCGGTGCAGTGATGCAGCCTCTGCTAGAACAAATGTTGTACCGAGAACTAAGAGTCTTTTCTGGGAACACAGCGACATTCCCAGGGTTATTGGCCTTTGATTCCTGGCTTGAGCACACCACTGAGATGTTACAGATGTGGCAGGTACCTGAGGTGGAGAAGAGGCGGAGGCTGATGGAATGCTTGCAAGGCCCCGCTCTACAAGTGGTCAATGTGCTCCGTGCTAACAATGCTGCCGTCACAGTGAAGGAGTGCCTGGAGGCCCTGCGCCAGGTATTTGGGCCCGTGGAGAGCCACAGAATGGCCCAGATGAAATTTTGTAAGGCTTATCAGGAGCCAGGAGAGACAGTTTCTAACTTTGTGATCCGTTTGGAGACCCTGCTCCAAAAAGCCCTAGAAAAAAGGGCAATAGCACGAAGGAATGTGAATCAGACCCGCCTTAAACGAATCTTAGGTGGGGCCATCCTTACTGGAAAACTTCGAGAGAAACTTAAGCTAATGAAACAGCGTCGGAAGCCACCTGGTTTCCTGGCCCTGATGAGGCTTTTTCGTGAGGAGGAGGAGTGGGAAGCTATTACGGGGGCAGAGAATAGCTGCCCACAGGGGCTGGAAATAGGCAGGGAGAGGGCACTGTTTGTTCCTGCCTTTGACAGTGGTCTTGAGAAAAGATCTTACCAGGGTTCCCGTCGCCGGAGGGGCAGAGGCCAGCACCGAAGGGGAGGTGTGCCCAGAGATAGATCTCAAGGTACAAGAAAGCGGAATTATGACACATTCTGCTATAGTTGCGGGGAAGAAGGCCACATCAGAGTACACTGCTTGAACCCATCCAACCGGACCTTAGTGAAGCAGAAGAGACGGGCTGCAATGGAGATGGGAAACGGGGCCTGGGCTTGGGAGAAGAGCCACCCCAAGCCCAAGACCAAGTAGGCTCCAGGGAACAGGGTAACCACTGTTCCCGTAAGCCAAGGAGACAAAAAAGATGTTTGAAGGAGGGGAAAGAGCAGTTCAGAGAAATGGCAGGGGACCTTAGTAAGGTACAATGGCAACATAACCAGGCACAAGTTAAGTCCCCTAAGCCAATGCCAGCTGGAGAAAACTCTAACAAGCAAAACTACACCACATTCAGCTCAGTAATGAGCAGATGCAAGGCTCCTAGGATGTACCATAGGAGGAAGCCAGGAGCACTGCAGCTGCATGGAGCCACAAGGACTCAGATGGGGACATCAGGAAAGCAGAGGCAGAAGATAGGAAGGCTGTGACTCTAAGAAACCTAGCAACTTCCGGTCCCCATGGGGTGTGGAGGCTGTCCTGGCCAGAGAGAACCAATGCCTGGGGAGAAGTGCAGCAAGGCCGGGAGACAGTGCTCCGGAGAGGAGGCCGCAGGATCCAGCCCGTCTTTAGGATCATCTACACTGCTCTAGGGGAGCCTCATGAGGGCAGCACCCTTGAGTCCTTTCGTGAGTGAAACACCAGGGTCCCTGGACCCAAAGGCCCCGGGACACCAGTGCCAACCCGGAGGCAGATCCCATCCTGGCACCCCGGCAGGACTGTGAGTGGGGGGAAGACAGCAGTGCCCAAGAAGATCCCCGGGCTGGGGGTGCGTACGCAGCACCATAAGGTTTGTGCCCTCAGCTGGTCTGAGAGCCCGTGAGTGTGCAGGACAGATTGGTGTGAACAAGGAGGTGGAAGAGCAGCAGCAGGAGGACTTGGGGCGGTAGTTTGTTCTGCTCTCTTTTGTCCAGGGCTGCTGGAGAATTCCAGAGAGCAAGCAAGGAGAGCCTGGTGAATACAACTCGGCAGGCAGCTGCCACGGCTGGCCCCCAACCCTGCCGACCTGAGAGGGTGGCCTGGCGCTGCTGCCGAGGTGCCATCCTCCGTCTGCCATCCACACCAGACGGGTGGAGGTTACAGAAGAGGCTGCCTCAAGGGTTCTTTCTGCCTGGCTCTCCCAACACGGATGCCCCCTCCCCATTGCTATCCCGAGGGAGGCTACTCCCGCCTCTGGAACCCCTCCCCCCCCCCCACTTATCTGCTAACCTCATAGTGACCCACTCGGCTGTCCACCGAGTCCTTTTCCCCCTTGAGTGCTCATCCCCCACCCGTTGCTTCTGTACCAAGCTGTGAGTGAAGTGTGTGTTAACTTGAGCAGCTGGAGGCCCTGACTACCTGGTCAGTGGCCCCTACTCCTGGCACCTGTTGTGAGCTTCTGTGAGCTGCTTTGCCAGCCAAGGCTGCCTAGCTCCCCTCCCACCGGTGTTGTGAACGCTCCTCATCTGCTTTCCCGGTGTACATCTAGGCCAGCTGCCCGCTGCTTGCTCTCCTGCAGATGTGTGGGTGTTCTTACATGATCAAGTGCTCCCCAGAACCCCCAGGCCCAGTCCTGGATGCCAGCGGGAAGCAAGGATGTCGACAAGGGACTGGTTGATCTCTTATGACTGACTTCAATCTGGAGCAGACAGGAAGACCTGAACTGGAGATGGGTGGGACCTGGGGACTGTGCTGTAATGTTCTACTCCTGTAGTTACTTGTGACTATGTTTCCCAGGCTTGATGGAATATTCCTTGCTGTGCTTTGCAGTGTCCTGTGACTATCTTGTACCAGAATATGACAGGGCCACCCTACAGTGGGCAATTCCTTGTAAGGGTTCACCAAAGGCTGAGGGGATTGCAAAAGGTAGTTCTTGGGCCCTTGGGAAGAGAGAAAATAACAGAGGGATCCCAGAGTGTTTGGCCCTTTGGAGGAGCTCCATGGGGGTGGTCCAGAACTTGTGTTGCTTCTAGTGCTGTGGAGCATTTGTGTTCTCATCCCTTTCTCTTCAAGATATTTAGTAAATGTCTCTGTTCAATAAACTTAATATAAGTTCCAGCTGTTTCTGGCCTCTTCTGAAGTGGGGGATGGGGTGAGGCAGAGGAAGCAACATTAATATATGTTCAAAGCAGAGCCCATGCGGGCCTATGTGGCTCCCTGGGTAAGTGGGAGTTAGGTGACTAGGTGTTGTATGGGAGGAGGGAGAGTACTTTCCTGGTTTCCCCAGGACACCCAGGGAGACCCCAGGAATGAGTAGATTCGGCTTTTAAAGGAGGGCATTGGACAACAAGCAGGACCTGAGGCTCCCGGATGCCTGGCAATACACTGGAGGCTTAGTGTATCTGACCTGGCATATTGTCTGTGTGATATGACATCATGTATGAATATGTGTATGTCAGTTAGTGATTGTGTGTGAGTGAGTGTCCAGTTTATTAGATTTCTGTGTATTTCAACAGACTAGCAAGTGACTGCACGTTAGTGTGTGGCAGTATTGCGTTAGTGAATCTGTTAACACGTGAGCAAATGTGAGAGATGCCTCTGAATGTATCAATATTAATGAATATACATGTTTAAGTTTTAGTACACATTTTCAAGTGTTAGTCAAATTGTGTTTGTTGTACAGTGTATGGGAATATTAATGTGCATGCTAATGAACACATAGTACTCTGCCAGTATGTGGTTATGAATATGTATCTGTGAATTTATGGACTTTGAGTGTATTCATGAACGAATGTGAGCACATGAGAATGAAGAGCCTGACGTATAGGAGTTTGTTATTGCATGTGTGAGGAGGAATGACATGTTTGTGTGTTAGTAAAGAAGAATGTAAAAAAAGCATGCAAATTTGTGCTGCAAATACATAACGATTGTTGATATTTTTATTTATTTAAGGAATTAAATAATGGTGTTGGAAAGAACAAGAGACAACTGACTTTCAAAAACAAACACACACACACAAAATCAGTTGTACAACTGAGACTCAACAGAGTATGTGAATTAATGATGATAGCCCCCAGACTAGAAAGCCTAATGCCAGTCCGGGAACATCCCTGTTTTCAAGTTTTTCTTCCACTGTTTACTATTGTTATTGAAATGCTGAAATTCAGTACAGTATCCTTGCTTGGATATCTTTGTCGGTTTTTTCCCCTTTCTTCTATGTAAACAATCAGGACTAGAATGGCTAGGGCATGTTGTTAGGCCTATACTTTACTATATATTAAGAAATTTCAGACAGATTTCCAAAGTTAATGTGACAGTTTACACTCTGATCACAGAAGTGCTCATGTGTCCTCCAAAGATGTTTATATTGTCAGCTTTGCATTTTGGCCAATCTGTTGCTGCATGCATGACTCATTATGGTTTTTTTTTTTTTTCCGAGACTAGGTTTCTCTGTGATACTTTGGAGCCTGTCCTGGAACTAGCTCTTGTAGGCCAGGCTGGCCTTGCACTCACAGAGATCCACCTGCCTCTGCCTCCTGAGTGCTGGGATTAAAGGTGAGAGCTGCCATCGCCCAACTCCCATTGTGGTATGCTACAGCCATCTTTAATTTTTATAATTTTTATGGTTGTGGGATTTACATGGATGCCATGTTTGTGAATGCAGATATACATGCACGTCAAAACTGAAGGCTCAATCAGATGGCCTCCTCATTTGTGCTCCACAGTATTGTTTTTAATTTTTAAAAGATTTTTTTAACTTTAAAAGGCTTATTTTATGTGTGAGAGTGTTTTGTCTGTGTTTATGTATGTGCACCACATGCACATCTGTGGAGGTTTGGGACTGGAGTTACAGCTGTTTGGGAGCCACCCAGTATTGGAAATTGAATATGGATCCTCCAGAAAAGCATCATGTTCTTTTAACCACTTAGCCATCTATCCAACCTCATAACCATATTTTTTGAGACAAGGTTCCTCACTGAACCTGGAGCTCACTGATTTGGTTAGGCTGGTTAGTTCTAGAGATCTGGTTCCATGTCTGGGGTTCTGTGATTATAGTCTTGTGCAGTAGCGCCAGTTACATGGATTTCAGGGATCTAAATCCAGGTCCTAATTAACATAGCTTATCATACATCCCTCCTTTCTGCTTTCCTTCTTCCCTCTAAATGGTCTCACCTTTCTCTTTCACTTCTCTCTGTCTGTCTCTGTCTTTCTCTCGCTCTCTCTCACACAGATATGTATGCATGCCCTTGTATACTCATGTTGTATAGATGACATATATGCAATCTAGACTCCATATATATGATATTTGTCGATTGTGCTTGGTTTTTTTTTTTTGTTTATTTTGTTTGGATTGTTTTTCGAGACAGGGTTTCTCTGTGGTTTTGGAGCCTGTCCTGGAACTAGCTCTTGTAGACCAGACTGGCCTCGAACTCCCAGAGATCCTCCTGCCTGTGCCTCCTGAGTGCTGGGATTAAGAGTGCACCACCACCGCACTTGTTTTGTTCTTGTTTTACTTAACATGATGACCTATTGTTTCATCTAGCTTCACTTCAAGTCTCATACTTTTATTTTTCTTTATAGTTCAATAAAACTCAGTTGTGTGAATATACCACATTTTCTATATTCATCAGTTTATTATCATGTAGGCTAATTCTCTATTTTGTCTATTGTTAATAATTTTACAACAAACATGAATGTATAGGGATCTCTGCAGTATGGTGACTTAGCAGGAAAATGGTGTAGCTTTAACCTATATACTGATTTCAATAATGGCATTATTAGAATGCCAACAAAAGTTTCTAAGGATACATTCTCTAAATGTATTCTTATTTATGTGTTTGCGTACCTGCCTGCTTCTCTGTATGAACCTCACTTACACTAAGAGTCCATGGAGGTCAAAAGAGGGCATTGATCTTCTGGAACTGGAGTTACAAGTTACTGTGAGTCACGTGCTGTGGGTGCTGAGAAGTGAACCTGGGTCCTATAAATGATCAGCAAGTACTCTTAACCTCTGAGACATGACTTTAGTCCCTTGTTTTCTTTTCTAAGAAATACTATAAATTATTCAAGGATGTCATACATTGTATTTTGGCTATTTTTGTCTCCTTCTCCATCAGTACTCCACTCTACACTCACTTCCAAACCCACCCAACTTTGTATAATGGTTGAAATCCATTCACTGCCATGAGTACTGCCGAGATACTATTAAGTATGTGGTAAGTTACTGGAGCATGGCAGAGCTACCACATGTCATATTCACAAAGAGAGCTACCTCCCCTTCTCTCAACAGCTATTACTTACCAATAGCTCCTCG